GTGTCAAGCTCTGGATGTTTGAAAGTCCAGGCAGGAAATAACTCATGGTCCTAATTTCTTCTTCTCTTCCAGGCGTCAAACTTCTTCTGGGGTCTTTGGGCCATCTTGCAGTCTCGTTACTCCTCCATTGACTTTGATTTCCAAAGGTTTGTGCAACTTTTGGCGAGTTTTCACATCATTCTTGTGGTCTCCTGAATACTTTAGATTCAGCTGTTTGACAGTTGGCATTGTAAATGATTATGTCCTTAATTGCATCAAAGAATTTAAAATCTATTTTTTTGAACACTCATAAAACTGACCAAAATGTTCTGAATTCAAACATATTTTTGCAAAGTATTATGAAAAATAACGTGGAACAAATTTTGTATAACTTTATAACAAAGAGTTTGTTGGGCTGGCTTTATCTCTTTAAGTCACGTCTCCATGCCAGCAGAATATTTTAAGCTTAAAATATTTGGCTCTTTGTCACTGCTGCACCTCAGATCACGGGAAGATAAAGGACAGTTTTATTGGGACTTTGAAAGAAAATCCAAATAATCAAAATGTTTTGCTGAAGCTCAGTACATTTGCCACCATCAGCCACTAAAGTGAAGAATGTTTCCCTTCATCCGTTTGATTTCAGGCTGTCACCTTTCTTTGTGCACCACACCAGCACCAGTTATGATCATGATCCTAATCACTATTGACATACGGCACCCTCCCCTCTGTGTGGCTTTCTCTGCCCGCTTGCTAAGGGCCCCCGCCACATTTCGATCTGGGCTTTGGAGGAAATGTGATCCAGAGGGGTGCTGCAGCACAGAGGCACTATTGTTCCAGCGCTGTCGGCCCTGCCTTACATATACATCTTTTGTAGACGTCTGCTGCTTCGAGCCGCCGGCTGAGGTTGTCTTAAAGTGCACGGGCAGGGTTAGGTTACCTTTTTTTTAACTGGAGGGTTAAACTGAAACGAGCTATGAGAGCAACAATAACTACAGGGAACCAAACTAATATTTGAAAAGGAATGCCACTCTTCAGTGAGGCTCTTCTAACCTCTGCCCCCCGCCCCCCCCCGCCCCCCCGCTAAAATATACACTTACACATATAAACATGCTGCCAGACGTTCAAATTCTTTTTGTGACATCAGAATGATGTGTTAATGACAGAGCATTAGCATGGGGTTGTATTTAATCTCATCGTATTTGTCTGTGTTTACTATCAGAAACAGTGAAATAAAAAAAATCCATTAGTATTAAAAGTAAAGGGCCATGTCTTCTTTATTGCACAAACAACAAAGTGATGGCAGACCTATGAGGTTCTATCCTTGGTAAGCTAAACGACAGGATATAAATAAACTATAGTTTGGGAGAGAATCAGTTCCAATTTGTAGTTTTACTGTTTGCGGTTGTCTTATTTAATATAGTCTATACACCCCCCCCCCCCCAGCTTTTAAGCCACCTATGTGTTTATGTGATATAAAAGAGAAATGTACTGTACTTTTGTTGTACAAACTTCAACGACAGTAAAAGAGTTGACTTGATAAGCTTTGTTGTTTGTTGCTAAACCTGTTAGCCATAGCATGAATTAGCTGTCCTGAAAATGTTTTGTACAGGTAGAAGAGCTTTGGATGTTGAATCTGAATCAACTTAATCATGCATGTCAAGTTGTACAAAACTCAAATTGTTTGTAAATTATTTTTCCTGAATTTTGCATGAAAACATGCATATAGAAAAAAATCCTACAGATTAAAAAAAACAACAGCTTCAAATTTATTTATGTCTCAGAGCTAGCCTGGAAGGAGATGAGAAGGGGTTCTCTGTAGCCTCAAAGTGGGCATTTCTCAAGCATAAACTCTGATTGGCTAGTTGTATTTRCTCTGTTTTTTGAAAAGGTTGGTTCTTTTATTTCTTTTATTTTCTTTTGTTTTTCTTTCACTTTTGACTAACTATTTTCACATTAATTTTCACAGTCAGAACTTTTTTTTAATCAAATCACAATTATCATTAAAAACAAACATTTAGTTCTTCATTTTTCTAAATATCTAAAAAAATAAATAAATAAACATCTGCTAACTGATGTTGCTTTTGTTTTGAAATGTAACCTGGAGTTCTTTGTTAAGAGAAGTGGAAATAAAGAATGAAAACGTTGAGTTCCACATCGGCTGCATCTTCATAACAGCTGGTTAGCATAATCTGCCGGCCGTTATTATTCCCAAGTCTTCTGATGACCTCTGTAACAACAGCAAGTTCATGAAACTAAATAAATAAATGAAAGTCTGATGCTTGAAAAGAAAGCTAACTATATGAATAAATGCCTAAACTATGATCATCCAATCAGGCCCTTGAGAAAAGCCTTCTTTGTCTGCAGGGATACCTACTTGAAGGAAATGCTCAGTTTGCCCCTCCTCCTCGTCGTTCTACTGCCACAGACACACCCTCACCCTCGCCCACTCCCCACCATGTGCCCTCACAAATGCTGTTCAAGCACTGTTAGTCCCTTCACTTGTTGTAGCCTATCATGTGAGAGTACTATGGCGTTTTGTTTTTGTTTGTTTTTTAATTCAGATTTCTGCAGGTAAGCCTCCAAAGGGGTCGACGTGTATGCCTAAAGGGCTCGACACACGGGCAGCGACAAACTACAGCGATTTAACGGCTGTCATCGCAGCCAGGGTGAAACCCGACACACGGGACGTGATAGCGATTGCAGCGTTGCGAATCGCGCTCTCAGGTCGCTTGTCTTCACAAAATTTGATTGGTTCTTGACTCTGAAGGCGGGTGTGCATTACGGACATGTAAACTAAACAAATCTTGCGATGCTAATGATAATGAAAAACAAACACACAGTTTTATGAGGAGAAACTTACCATAAACTTCACTCT